TTATAAACCTCCCACTGGCGGGCACACGAGTACTAGTGTATAATCCCCACTAGTAGGGCCTCGAGCGAACCGGTTCTATCAATAACATGTCGACATGTGCTAGCGTTTATAAACCTCCCACTAGCGGGCACACGAATACATGACCATATCGGAGACAAAACAGGCAGAAGTTAACAGAAAAATCACACTTCACAATCACTTTCAAATCATCAGGACAATCAATCAGATTTCAAGTAGGCATGCTCAATTTCATGAAAAGCACAAAACATTTCACTTCAAATCAGTCATACTTGTGTAAAACGGGTTTAGTCCCGCCACCACTTCAAAAACAAATCAAAACATGCTTTTAAAACAGTACGGGCACTACCATAAATTTACTTACCTCACTCGCATAAAACCGAGCACTCAATCTCGATGCTAACTGACAGAACGATCAAGAACCTAATCAAAATACCTCAGAATTAATACCGGACTATCACAAATTCAAATCGAAATCATCATTAGGATCATTCCTAATCACAATGCTATTTCCATAAATCTCCACATGATCAAATATCTCCAAATTCATTCTCATATCACAAACTAATCATTTAAATTCCCGTTAAATATTGGCCCTCGGGGTGTGAACAGTGTCCATGAACAGTACCACGACGTGAACAGTAACCCCGACTTTCACAAATTGGCCAAAACACTAGCTAATTCCACAGGATTTTCTCCAAAAATCACATAGCAGTCCATTAACACTCAATCACATAAATCCCACTTGAATTAATGCTTAAATCTCATCCTAAAACTACCGGAATTATCCCCAATTTTCTAGCAATTCACGGACACACAAGGCAGCAAACTAAACGGACAATTTAAGCCTTAAAAGGCTGTCACATACCAGAATTTCCAGCTGCAGAAACCGAGCTTGGCTGGGGGAGGAGCCGGCGGCAAGCTGCAGGGAAAGCTCACGGGTTTCCCAAAAATTAAAGGAAATAAGATCAATCAAAGTTAACCCAAGCCAATCAAAGCTAGAGAAGGGAGAATTCGAGCTATTTCTTACCAAGAAAGACTGAAAATCACACCCACAAGCAAGAGCAGCCGGCGGACAGGGAAGGAAGAACAGAGCAGATCCGGGAACTCCTGCAGGGGGGAGAATTTCTGGGTTCCAATTCAGGTTCTAGAGCAAGAAGGAAGGAGAAATCTCCAAGCTTTCTCACCAATTTTCCAAGGCATGGCTGGGTTCCTCTTTTTTTTTTTCTCTTCTCGGGCTGCAGCGGGAAGAAGAGCAGAAGCGGGTCTGAGGAGGAAGAAAAGAAAGAAAGAAAAAGAAAAAGAAGGAAGCTGATCCTTATCCTAAAATCTTTCCCTTTTTAAGTCCCTCAGCTTTCAGAGTATTCACATTAGGACCCAAAACAATCTTTTCTCACAATCAAATCCTTAACTTACAGTTAAATATTCCTGAAAATTTGGGATATTACAAGAACCTTTTCCACTTTCCTCCGCAGCCTTTTTCCTTCAGCATCTCTAATAAACCTTCATTTTTCTTTCACCAGATTCCACATTCTGAAATAGATAGAATAGAATTGTCTCCTCATCAAGACTAAAACAGATTACTAATAATTGCTTTCAGGAAACAGCAGTTTAAAGAACTATTTGCCTCTGGTTCAGTGAGAGAAATATTATTATTAGACAGTGTAATGTTTTCTCTCAAATCTTCTACTTCATTAACCTGCATTATAGAATATTTGTAAAAATGGGTACAGACAAAAATCTAAAGACCTGAGGGTTGGTTTAGTCCTTGAATACCATTTAAAGCTTTGAAATTACTTAAGCCTAGCCGTAGTTCATATTAGGTTATTAGGTTATAATCTTTGAATATCAAATTATATAACCTAAAGAAAAAGTACTTGAATGATTAGAGTTGAAAGAACACTGAATTGAAGCCATACATCTATAGCAGGTGATGTTGCGTTTGGATCTACAGGTTCATCTGGTGAATCTCCTGATTCCTTGTTGCTGCAGTTGGGGCATTGCCAATCCCCTTCGGGAGCTTTCTACAAGTATAAAGAAAAATAGTATCAGGTTCTCTAACAATCAGAAACAAATACAAGAACATAAGTTCTTAAAGCCTATACCTCAAGAGGTGAAGAAAGGCAGTTTAACTGATAGGTTGCTGGGCAGTTGTTGCAACAGAGCAACAGCCCCTGAGTATCACAAATCATGCATTGAAAGAAATGCTAAAAGCAAAAGGACAAACAAAAAGATGGAAAACAATTAGGCATCGCTCATGACAGTTAGAGATCAGAAAAGACATGAGCTTGTGTTGCTTTTTGGATCATTTGAAATGTAACTTGCTTACAGATTCAAAAAAGAACTCACCCCATCATCACAAATTGGCCTCTTTGAAATTCTAACTTTTTCACTCTTGGAAGAAGAAGACACTAGAATAAGAGAGAAGCTTGAAGGCTTCTGTTAAAGATTATTCTGAACCTAGCAAGAAGAGCCAAAGGCAGCGTTGTTTGCAAGGTGCAAGAGTTTGAGATAGAGAGGAGCCAAATGGGTGAATTTATAAGGAGGGAGGATGGTGTGTGTTTGTGTGCTTGGTGGAGATGTTAATAGGGGATACATGAGAGAAATGAGTTGTATGGAGTGCACTTGGCTTTCTTTCTTCTTCCTTAGATGGAAACTTCTGTCCCTTTTTTTGCCTATCTTCTTTTGTTCATTATAGACAAAAGAGGGCTTCATAGTTCATTTCAATTTGATTAAATTTCAGTGAAGTTTGAGTTAATTTAAGTAACACCCTGTTTTAATAGAAATCATATTCTTTATTTACAAGAAAAATGTTTAAAATGGGAGGAGGATCATTGAAACTTAGGATTTGGAATAGGATCGTGGAAAGAGAAGGTTAGCTTTTTGATATCCATTTAGGGTTATAGTTTTTCACTAAGAAAGATTCATTAGTAGATTTTCATTTAGAGGAATTCGTGAATCGTTAAATAGTTTTCCATTATAAAAAGTTCAGCCAAGTAGTTAATCTTTAGAGAAAGTTTGTTAGTAGTTTTTTGTTAAAAAAAGTTCATTAAGTAAATTTCTTTAGAAGAGACCCTTATGTAGTTTCGCAAATAGTTCATTCTCAAGAGGAGTTTGTAGGATAGTTCCTGGGCTAGAGAAGATTGATTTAATAACCATAACAAGTTATACAATAGGGATAGTGCTCTCATTCTTAAATCCTCCCCATCTACTCTACGATTCGAATTTGAGACCTCCAACATGGTCCCCAGGGGACATATTACGTATCATAATCTATAGGTACATTGTATATCGCCACTATGTTTAAGCAAGAGTTGACTAGGTTACCTTTTATGCAATATTTTCGGTAGCCAACAGGGAATTTCTACCATATTAATAGAGATTCCAAATATGAGAGCAAAATAAGACATAGCATTGAATTTGCCAGGAATTGGAGATTATTATCCATTCCAGGTTAAACTTTTATGGCCAGTCAATGAAATCAAATCCAAGCAGTGAATTTCTTGTCATTAAAAAAGTTAGGTAATTAGAGATTTTCTTGCCAAATAAAGTGTGTCTTGCTATAAAAAGAGAAAACATACTAGATTTTAGTTACCATTTATGAAATTTTAGTGATTTGGTTTTCCATCACCATTCTTATCTCATTCATTTGAATTCATCGCCATGAAAATTCTCCCAAGTATAAGCAGTCTATGACTATATACATAATATATCTTTTTCACAACCTCCTCCTTTTTCTTTTTCTTTTTCCTTTTTTTTTTCTGTTTTCACATGAGATTTCAATCTAACAAATATACATGAAAAATTATTGAAAAATTATTTGAGGGCCGAAAGTTGGAGGCCGAATTGTAGGCATAAATTACCTTGGCAATTTATCATGTGGGGCCCACCACATGATCAATGGCCAAAAATATTTGAGGGTCCAACTTTCAGCCCCCAAATCAGTTCTCAATAATCAATATACATAATATAATACAAAATGCGAGGTAAAATTCTCTTTTTCTTTAATCCACTCAATCCAGATTTCAGTGTTTAATCTCTTATTCTATCAGTTACAATTCTTTAAACCAATAAATTTCCCTTTTTCGTTCTCAGGTAGACCATCCTACTTTATCTCTTATTCTATTGTTGTTCTTTTTTTTTTTTTCCTATTTTTTTGCGGACATCATCATCCCACTTTGTTTTACTTTTCTCTTCTTTTAATTGAGTTCATATAGAAAAATTACATTTAAATCTTTTAAAAGGAGTAAAAGACATCAGTAATAGAACAAACAACCGTTTCCCTGCTTCTTACTTAGAAAATCAAACAACAATTAAAGCTACAAGAATTTGTTTCTTGATTCAAACTTTTTTTCCCTTGCTCTTAAGAATTAAATTAACAGCCTAATGATCAGCAACACTATGCTTTATTATATTATTTCTACAGCTTTTTCACCTTAACAATGCCATGCCTTATTGTTCACATGACACTAAAAATGATATATGGTAAATAAGGTATGTAGGACCTAGATGATGATATGGCTGCCAAATGGTGGGATAATCCTACTTGGCAGCCATATCATCATCTAGGTTCCACATGCCTTATTTACCATAAATAAAAAAAATCAGCAAAAAAATCAGCTTCTAATAACAGCTTTCCTTGCTAAAATACTGATTTTTATAATTTATTTTTCAATATAAATATGAAGTCCAAAACATATGCACAAAACCAAACACAGGCATCACCATCTTTTAAAATTAAAACCCTTGATTCCATACCTTTCTTCCTTAGCATAAAAGATTAAAGGAACCTTTATTTGGCAACCCGAATAAAGTATATGGAATGGTTGCTATTCTTGATTTGCAATCCGAAATGCCATCAAACAAACAATTAAAAGGAACCTTTTGAGCTTCTAAATTATAAACCATAAAAAATTAGTAGACTCTGATAGATTGATAGTTAGCTCCTAAGATGATATCTCAGTGTGAAGTTTCTAACTCTAACTCTAAATGCCCAGTTCAAAAGTCTTCTAGGGGTGTCCCAATAGTTAAAAACTTGAGCCTCCATATTAGAGACACTACTAGAAAACAGAGTATAATCGACAGTTTTTCTGTCGATTATACAAGGATTTCTGTCGATTATACCTTAATCGACAGACATAATCGACAAGCATTTATGTCGTAAAAACGGTAGTCGAAAAATATTATAATCGACAGAAATTTATTCTGTCGAATATAAATGTATATTCGACAGCCATTGGCTGTCGAATATAAGTATATTCGACAGCAAATGGCTGTCGAATATACTTGGTGAAAAACTTAAAAAAAAAAATACAGAATTTAAAAAAATCCAAAATTATATTTATAATTTTTTCTGTTAATTAAATTATATAAAAAACAATGAAACGAAATTTCAACACAATTATCAAATCCCCAACAATATATTTATGAAATAATTTTGAGAATTATATAATATAAGAAATAGTAGATAAATGTAAATAAAATTAAAATGAGAATTCTAACCTTAATTATTTTTTGATCTATATCCTGCCAAAAATAAGAAAAAAACATTGCATTGGTATAAATTATGATTTTATTAAAAGAAAAGGAAATAAAAAGTATAAATCAAATTTAAAAGGAGAATTTACCTCATAATTATGGTATTAAAATCTGCACACACAAAAAAGAAGAAGAAGGAACTATTAGTCTATGAAATAATAAGATAATGAAATAAGTATAAATGAAAAATAAAATAAAATTAGAGATACTTACAAAAATACAAATGAGAGAGTATAAAAGATGAAAGAAAAAGGAAATATAAAAGGAGAAGAAGTTGAGAGAAAAGTTGGGACGTTTTACCTGTGAAAAAGAAGAAGAAAGAAAGAGATAACCAAAAATGAAAAAGAGATAACAATGGGATGTTTTGATGCTGAAACCCCTATATAATACAAATATATTCGACAGAAATCTTGTCGATTATACAAAATAAAGTTGTCGAATATATTTCAAATTAAATTAGCCGGGAGATTTAATTTTTTTGGGGTAAATGGGCGGGCTTCAAGTATAATCGACAGCCAAAGTGGCTGTCGATTATACTTATATTCGACAGAGAATGACTGTCGATTATGTTTTGATTTTTTTTTTTTTAT